TTTAATTTTGGGTTTTAATTTTTTAATTAAGTATTTTTTTCTGGTCCGCCTTTTGCTTTTGCTCTTTCTAGGCAAACCCAAAACTCACCTGAACCTTGAACTATCCCGAAGAAAACACCATACTCACCCAAAATGCAATTAGTGAATCACAAGAACACCTTTATGTATTCGCACATTTGAAAATCAAATTAGCGAAATAACCTAGCTTGTTTTCCATTGTTAAAAACTTCATCGACGATGATGGCAGGGGATCAGATCTCCTCCTCCATAGTTAAATGTCTTGAAGTGTCTAATGCAAGGTTTTAAATGTTGGCCGACATGTCCGACATGTCGGTTTGAGGGCTTGAGCGACACGACATGGGCGTTTTCCACTCGTATGTCGGTTTTCAGAGCCAAATCGAAAATATCGGGCCATATCGAGCATATCGACCGATTTTCCAGCCTTAAAAAATCGGTCAATATAGCCCTTTTTTTTAGATCTGTTTTTGTTATTAAGTTTGGGTTTAGTGATAAAAACCCAAACCTGTTTGACCCGTTCTCATATTTCAGGGTTTCTTATGAACCCGATAGAAAGAAAAGAGAAAAATTAGGGCTATAGCGAATTCGTGAACTGATCACGCCTTTCGTGAATGACGACGCCCTTCCCCCACCTCTATCTCGGACCCCCGTCGTCCATCTCCCGTTGCGTCCTGAAATCCAAACCCTAATCGAACCCGAGGGTGACAGGGTATCCCGTCATCAGGATAAAGGAAAGAGGGGTGTCAGTGACTCATTCGAAGGACCTCGAGCAGACGAAGAAGAAGAAGAAGAGCCTCGACACTGTCTCCCTACGACGTCCTGTCGCCGACACTGCCTCCCTGCGACGTCAGAATCCACCCATTGCCGGCGATGCCTCTAGATCAATTTATAAAGTATGCTTATATTGAATTTAGGAATGCTTAGATTATATTTAGGACATGATATTATACATATGCGCACAACCCGATATGACAATCCGATATTTAGTCCATGTCTTCCGATATATCCCCGATTTTCGCTATCCGACATGGATTTCAGCCGTCCGACATGAACCCGACATCCGACATTTAAAACCTTGGTCTAATGTACTTAGATAGGTCATCTCAGATTGGATATCTTATCTTGCTTAGACAAGTTAAATAGCTTTAAGTGCCAGCCACAGAATTACAATATCAAACATACTCCATTGTTTTTTTAGAAAATTGTTTGTTTATACATGTTTTTAAAATCCTTCAACAAACTACTGCCATCACCATCAACAAGAAGAATAAGTCTACTTCCTTCTCAATGTGTTTGTCTGAGCTCTAGTCTAACTTCAAAGGATACCTTGGACAGGTCTTCAGCTAAACTGGTTCTCAACCTGTGAGCTGAGATTTGATGCTGCACTATTTCTTCTTGCTAGGTACAAAATATATGTAGGAGGAGAGCTTTCTAGTAGAACATGGAAGCAAGGGTCATAAAACTAGCCAACAGTGGCATAGTTTGGTCATTTCATCTTGGACTTCCCGGACCCTAGGACAACAAACCTCCTCTATTATCTGCTCCAGGCTAATGGGGCAGTAATTGCTGAGCTGTTTTGGGTTTAGTAACAGTAAACACCAGCCAAAATGTACACAAGATTGCCCAAAACTTTTCCTGGGCTAAAATATGAGAGTTCAAAATTGAATTTGGTAATGTTAAATATGATATATCACATGTATATATGGATATCAGACTTGAGGATTGTGAACTCTTGTTTTCATGAATCACATGTGAATATGATTGCCATATCTATGGATAGGCCACAAAGCAAGAGAAATATAGTAAACTATCTTGTGTATTCTCCAGGGAGGAGTGTATGCCTCATATCAATAGATTTTTCTGCTAAATTCAATAATAATATATCTGTTGGTTAATTAAAGTAGTTGTCAATAAGATAGGAAAACTAGAGTAGACCAGTGGTCATAACAGATAAGTAATGGTCCCAACTACAAAGGAGTTGACAAATTGTTGCTGTTAAATAAAAATAATTTATACTGGAACCCCATGTATAGAACAATTGATTGATTTGTTGTTGAGGATATCATACATACAATTATTTAGTTTATATATTTGTTCATGCAAGTTTGATATATTTTTCAAATACCTTTTTTACATGTAAGACACTATAGGGAAACACCCCATTTGAACTCGACCAGAGCCTTGCCAATTATATCATAGATGATAGTAGAACATGTGGAAAGGTGCTGATTGTCTTATATTTGTAAAACAGTATTTATATTTTGCAATACATTTTAAAGCAATTAATTACATCTGAAAATGATGCTTCTGACTTGAAACTCAGCTTTTTGGTAAATAAAAGCCAGTTTAAGAGGAACTAGGATATTTCAGCATGGATAGCTCTGATTAAATTACTTTGTAAAAGTAAACATACTTGATACAATCGTATGTTGCCTTCTATATAGTCTGTGATTGCCTTCAATTAATTCATATATACTTCTGCATTTATTGTTATACTTCTAGCCATTCTTGAATTATGTGTTCAGATATTTATTTTCAGTACAATGGTGTTAATATGCAGAAATTCAGATTGTACTTGAAGAGAATAAGTGGTGTAGCTCAACAACAGAATGGAATTCCTAGTTCTTTGTGTGGACCTGTAGAGCCAGATGCAAAAGTGGGTTCTGGGGGAAGGCTCGATTTCCAAGCTCTTGCAGCCTCAGGCCAAATCCACCCAGAAACCCTTGCTGCCCTGCATGCTGAGCTTTTAGGCCGTCCTTCAGGCAGCTTAGTATTTCCAGCTATGGATCAGCCAGTTTTGCAATCTTCGAGACAAGGTCCTCAATGCATTCCTTCTGAGCGAGATGTCCAATTTGGTCAGCCTCTTTTTAAATGCCAATCTAGGATAACTAAGCAATTCCCAACTAGTGGAATTGGTGAGAATATGTCTGCTGATTTTTCAATCTGGCCGTCAAATTATCTAGGCACTGCAGATGCCATAAAAAACGTTGGAGGGGTGAACAATACTCCAAAAGTTAACATGATGATGCAGGTGTTGCAGCAGCAGCAGCAGCCATACCCTGTGGTCTCAGAGCCGCATCATATAATTAATGTGCAGCCATCTTGTCTAGTTGTTCCCTCTCGACCATCAAATTCTTTAAGTGTTAGCCAAGGTTCTTTACTTCTGAATCAAAGCTCCATAGGTGTCCAATCAGAATCATCAAACAAATTTCAGTCCGAGAACAGTTCTGGTACCGTCAAATCCAGTTCAAACATTAACGGAGTTCCAGAGTACAGACTGCCATCACTATCAAACAAAGCTTCACTGCATTTAGAACAATCCGTAGTTGGGGATACAACAAATATCGGGGTGTTAAATGGGTCTTCAGTGTCTTTTTCATCATCGCTATCATCGTATTCAACTTCTACAAATAGCGGCACAGGTTGGCGATTACATCACTCGAACATCAATGATAGTCCTGCTACCAGATTGCCTGTAAATTTACCTAATATTATGTCTCAAGGCTCTGAGCGAAAGGCAGGGAAGTCATTTGATCAAGCACAAGCAAGAAATCTTGGTTTTGTTGGTAAAGGTACATGCATCCCCAGCCGGTTTGCAGTGGATGACATTGAGTCTCCTACCAGTGAACAGTGTGTTAGGAATACAAGCACAGGTGACGATGGAGCTAGAGTAAAGCAAGAGCTTCAACTGGATTTCACGGACAGTTCTCAAGTTGGTGGGAGTACAATGCTTCCACATTTTTCTTCAAATAACTTCATGAGTGTTCTTTCCGAGTAGGTATGCAATAACCTTCTATTCGTGTTTTATTTACTATGAAAACTTACTGTAATAGTTAATTTATTATCTTACAGCTTATGCGTTTAGGACCTTTTTGTGGATAGTTAATGCAAAATGTTGATTTCTCCTATTATTCTATATATATATATGGAGGGTCAGAAGTTGTTTGATCTGTATTTAATTTGTAATTTAAAACATATGATGAGTAGGGGTTAACACTGATCAAACAATTAACTGTTTATTATTTTTTAATTAACTATTTATTAGTTGTTTGTTTTCATTCAGTTATTATGTTCAATCGATAAGGTCATTCAATAGTAAAGAAATAATATTTAGTATTCAGTTAATATATAACTGAATTTGTTCATTTAACCAGTAGCATACTTGATTCATTTAATCATTATTATCTCTATATTTACATTTTAGTCCTTAAAAATTTAAATTAATACAAATTGTACACCAACTTTTATTAAACATCTCCCCACATATAGATATGATTAAGATGGAGACAGTGAGAAAGACCTAGTAGGCCCTGTCCTGGGTTTTATCAATGATTACTATTTTGGTAAAAAAATTGTTAATCTTTAAGTTGGAAACTGTGTAATGCAACTGTTGATTGTAGTTTGGTTGGTTGTTTTTCTGCTTATTTGAGGTAGTATTGTTATAGCTTCTTACAAGTATTTAAAGCACTTTCAGTTCTTTTAGTGCTTAACCTCACTGGCTTGATCAATTTTGTTTGTTGGTGGGTTTGCTTATAAATTGTTACCTCTGTAGTGTCGCCCAATTGCAGATAGACCTATTGTAGTTCTAATTGTGTGGATAGACCCCCTGAGTGAATTCTTTTGACTCTTAAAAGAGTAACAAAATTGTCGAGGTGGATAGAACCCCTGCAATGCTTTTGGTGTAGAAAGACC